CACAGAAAGTCTTGTTGCCGTTTTATTTTTCTCTCCTTGTTCTTGACAGTTTGGTGGATTCTCTCATGAATTAATGCAAAATACAGCTTATGTAAAAAAAAAATAATTCAAAAATGCAATTTGGCCTTCAGGTCTCCCCACGCCACCTTTCACATAACTGCATTCTAAGAAAGTGAATCCATAAAACCACAGATAATTGAACGGTAATTAGTCAAATTAAGCCCATAAATATTGTAGGTATTACTAATTTAATATTATCGGATGTGCTGTGGTGTGTGATGAGACCCTGCACAACAGGCTGGATTTTTCCCCAGAATGCACTGGGAAAAATGGATTTCCATCCTTCAATAACCTCCGTTGATACAATCAAATTATCCAAGGTTTAATTTTTAATATTAAAAGTGGTATAAAGTTCATGATATATGGCTCCGTATTTAGGTTGTAACCTGGAGAGCACATTGGGGAATAAAGAATGTGCTCTTTATTGTTGCCTGCTGTAATGCTGGATTCAGGCTGCGTGGAAGATTTATCAGTTGGAATGAATTATAAGTATTTTCTAAATGCCTGTCTGAGGAAAATGGCCGCTCCACCCTTGCTTGGTTTTATATTTCCTGATCATTCATTTTCACTCTGGGCCATTTAATTTTTCCTGAGCTTTCAAGTTTATGTATTACGACTAAAACTACACTGTCAATACAAATGAAAAAATACAGTGGCGGCCTAATTACCCAAATGATATGTGATTTTTAAATAGAGAAAAACACACATTTTTCATGGTAGATAAAGTTAATCACAGTCTTTGTACCTGATCATAAATTGGTGCGATGCAGGGAAACGTGGGCTCGTTGAGTAATGACTGGGTCACAAATCACCAGTGGTTCGAGCAAATCCATTTAAGAAATGCAGGAAAAATTACACAAATGATTCTGCATCCATTCATTTTAAATGCTACTTTAAGGCCACTTTGTAACCAGACCGTGTTTATTCATTTTTTCCTGCATCATGCTCTTCCTTCATTATGTGATACATATATATTTTATTATAATGTTAGGTGTTATTGTGCTATTTTTTTCCACGAGGATGGAGGAAAAAAACAATATAATGTAGATTTCATTTATTGCAATAAATTCACAACCTATAATGTATCAATACCTTTAAATCACCTCTGTAAAAAGCAGCAGTAACAGTTCCCTCTATTCTGTATATTCTGTATATACTGTGTATCATGTAGTAATGTATTACACTGTATATGATGGTTCAGTGTCCACCTGCAGCACATGAATGAGTCACTGTCAGATGATACTCCTCCACAGTTTATAATGGAAAAATAAATTTGATGATTTTTCAGCTTTAAAAGCCCTGATTGAAAAGCACGAGCACGCGCAGAGGGTTCGTGAACGCGCCGAATTTCACACTTGTTTGTATTTGGCGCCCTCTGCTGTTGGTCTGCAGCATCTCAGGCAGAGGATTAACTTCGGGGGGAGGGGCGTAGACCTCGGAACTTCCGTGTCTGTGCATCGTCACCACTACAGCGAGAACTATCAATGAGTCACTGATCTGACATCTGCAGTTACTGTTCTTCCTGTGGAGTGAACATCTCGTCCATCAAATCACGTGTAGTTGTGACACCTTGTGTGTTTCCTTTCATAGTTCATCCCTCACTGTGGTGATTGGCTGTAGATGTGACTCACACTGTATTTATTTAGCCAAACCTTCACCACACATCTGTATCTGTGCCACATGTTCAAACATGTTTGACTTCAATATGTAGTGGTGGACTGATTTCAAAGTTAGAACTGAAAGTATCAAGATTAGTTCATTGAGTTTTATTGTAACAACTGAGCCAATTTAAAAATTGCTCATAGGGCTATTGTTTTTGATAATTGTACCAAAAAGGTTTAGCATATAAATCACAGCAGTGTCTAACGTATGACTTTTATCTTTGCTTCTCTTGTGAAATACATGTTCATGCTTAGCTTTCATATTAGAGAAACACACTTTGTACAATACAGCTTAGTTCATCTAGATTTATTGTGGTTACTTGACATTGCAGTCTGGTACATTTCCAAGTCTTTTCCAAAGTTTTACTGATGAGATTTGCGCTGTTATGTTAACATTCATTTTTTCTAATCTGAAGATGATGCATGACCTTCCTGAAATTTCTGTTCATGCCAACTCACTGGTAAGAGCTAGTTTTCACTCATGCTGGTTGTGGTGTAGTAAAGCAAACTGCACTCCAGAGAGTATCCAGATTTGCTGTGAAGTCAAGTTACCCTACAAAAACACAAAGTTTGCTAACGACCGGTCAAATCTTTTTCACAAGGAGTCAACACTCGGGTGTTCTACTCTACAATCCACATAGTGACCACGGTCAAACCAGGAAGGCTCAGGAGGAGATAAGCATGAGTAAATATAGCAGTTGGGTGTAATCCACTTCGTGCATTGCATTATCCAGTGAGTGCTCATCTCATGCTTACAGTGGAGGAGACAAGTCAACATTAATTGTTCAGTTTGTTCCCCAGAATAAATTTATTCAAATTGGGACCATACAAACCTAGTGAATGACAGGAGGAGGTATCAGTTTTCTTACAGGAATGACATTGGTAAAGAGGATGTGGAACGTTTAATATCATAAAAGATGCACAACATACAGCCATCGCCCACAGCTAGTGGTGAGACACTATAGTTTGTTCCCATAAATAAGGCAGAACGCTGAGTCCATAGAAATGGTAAATTATTACATTTGCCGAATTGAACAGTGATGTGACAACATGAAGAATTTAGATGACTTTCTTCAGCTCATCGTACAGCACCAGCACAAAGGCGCCGCCCATGCCTCTGAGCACATTGGACAAGGCTCCCTTGAAGAAAGCTTTACCACCCTCGTCCCGTGCGATCTTGCGCCAGCAGTCGATGGTTCCGCTGTACATGATGTCAGCTGAGGAAGGCAAGAAAAGCACAAGTTAGCAGAAGGCAGGAATAATTCTCACCCTTTGCCTAATGTGGATTTGTCTCAATTGCACATTAATCCTTTTCGGTAATGTACTTAGAGAGGTGCCAGGTAGAAATGTAACAACTAGACAGCAATTGACCCCATTAAGACAAAAAAAGCTCACCTCCTTTGCGTCCAGACTGCATCATCATACGTCTACGGACTGTGTCGAAGGGGTATGAAGTCAGTCCAGCGACAGCTGTCACAGACTGAGCAATCATCCAGCTCACCAATATGCTGGTGTTCTTGGCATCTGGGAGCATACCTGCAAAGACAGAAGAAAAAATTAGATCTAGTACAAGCAGACTTAACTCTTCGGGTGTCATGGTGCAGGTCAGTATTCTGTCAACATACCCTTAGCTGTGTCGTAGATGCCAAAGTATGCAGCTCTGTAGATGATGATACCCTGCACAGACACATTGAAGCCCTGGTACAGGCCTCTGAGACCATCAGACTTGAAGATCTTCACCAGGCAGTCACCCAGACCGTTGAACTCTCTCCCTGCTCCAGCCTTTCCCACGTCGGCGGCGAGACGGGTACGGGCGAAGTCAAGGGGGTACACGAAACACAGAGAGGTGGCTCCAGCGGCACCGCCAGATGCCAGGTTACCGGCGAAGTACCTCCAGAACTGGGTGCGCTTGTCGACGCCATCAAGGAAGATCTTCTTGTACTTGTCCTTGAAGGCGAAGTTGAGGGCCTGGGTGGGGAAGTATCTGATGACATTGGCAAGGTTACCTCTCCAGAAGGAAAGGAATCCCTGCTCCTTGGGGATACGGACAACGCAGTCGACAATACCCTTGTACTGCTTATCTGCGGTGATCTGCTTACTGGCGTGCTGGACCTAAAGTAAGGAAATAGAATCAGAGAAAGTTTGTTTAAAATTGAGAAGTCAATTTACTTGTGACCATTTGACAATCACAAGGTCCCCTTGTTGTGACCTTGGAAGACGATCAAGTTGTAAAAATGTGCTGCACAAGTGTCCAAGAGAACAATCTAACATCTCATTTTAATACATTAGCAATCAATTGACGATATCTTTAATTCACTTAAATCTGAATAGATTGAAAATAAAAGACGTCATTTAACTATAACGTGGCCAGGGGTCAACACTGAGGGGAACAAGAACGATGTCATTGAGCAGGTTTAACAGGAAAATGTGTAAAACTCTTTGACCCGGCTGAATGACTGAGGCCGGGCCGCCATCCCACCTAGCTAACGTTAAGATGAGCATTAGCCACTGCGTCTTTCTCAAACATTCATAGAGTGGAAATGGTGGACATCTTATTCTGCATTATCCACCTATAAAATAATGTTCGTTGTTAGTCAACATGTTGAGTCGCCGTGTGTTCGGACACAATGTCCCTACAAGCGTTTGTCCTTTGTTAGCTGCGCAGGCTAAGGTTAACGTGTGAAGCTAGCGCTAGCAGCCGGGCTCGTGTAGGTCATTTCTCCTCACATGATGACCTCAAACCCTTGAACCGATCCCCTGGAAGACTTTCACCGTCTCCACGCAGACGGCACGCCCGGCTGAGTTTACCCACGGTGACATGTGAGGGCCACCGACACAGACGAGCACTTTACTGTGTTTCAATGGCAGTTAGCAGGAGCATAGGAGCTAGCCGGCTAACGCCGCGAGTCTACCGGAAGACGGAGGATCTGTTACCTGAAGGAGAAGCTTCACTCTCTCGATAGGGGCGACGGCTGTCTTGGAGATGGCGGCGGAGATGCCACCGGCCAAGAAGTCCTTGGCGAAAGAGATTGCCGTCTCACTCATGGTGCGATTTTCTCGATGTGCTGCTCAGGGAACCAGTAAACTCGACGTATCCCCACTGCCCTCTACAGATGATGGCCTGCACCGAACGAAATGGCCGATTGTGAAGCCGCGTTGCGGATTTATGCGACAGCGCGTATCGCGAGAAGCCGCGAGAACCGAGAGCCGAGCCCATTGGCCGACCCGTCAACGTCACGCTTCCTTCGACCAATCACAGCGCGATGTCGGCCTCTTACGTAAAGACGAGGAAATCTCGACATTAGAGAAGTTGATTTAATTCAGACAGAACAGAAAATGAATCTTTGCGTTGACTTGTTATGTGTTCTCCAGCTTTGTGTCACAGATCAGTGGAGACAGCAGCTGTTTGTGTCTGAATCCCACTGATCTGAGCCTCAGGGACACTGAGCTGCAGTGTCAAGGACTAATCACCACAGTGAATCACAATGAGCTCACATTTAACATCTCAGCCACTGTGACTGTAAGTAACAATACTGTGTTATCTCCCAATGATGTGCACTCTTCTCAATCACATGTGTTATATCACCGACCATGTTATATATGAACGGGTGAACTGTGGGTGTTCTTGTCTGCTCACACACGTGCTGTTTGTAAACCCTGCTTGTCATTAGAGGCCATATGTTTGACCTCATCCTCCAAATGTTCTTGAGAAACTTAGGATCTACTCGCTCTACTGGCAGTGAGGAGAAGTACTCAGATCATTTGCATAAGGTAAAAGTATAAAGTACTATTGTATAAATATATAACTTTCTGCAGCTTAGTTAAGAAAAGGCTGAAGTGATCATCTTAATGACCTTCAGGCAGAGTACAGCTGTTTATTGGTTCACTGGCAGGAACTGTAATAGGCAGAAAACTCAGTATCACATTTGATTCACAAGTAAATTCTGAAGCCTGTGATCAAATCAGCTCTGTCTTTCCCTGACCTACAAAATGTCTCCTCACGCCTGGACTACTGCAATGCATTAACACGTACCAGTCAATCCTCATTTTAACCATTACAAGCAAATAGGCCCTATTTCCCTCCTATTCTTGAATCTCTTCACTGGCTGCTGGTTAAATTTAGGATTGATTTTAAGACAAGAATTCTTGTCACAATTCTTACAACTCAGCACAGTCCGGCCCCTGGTTATATTACAGAGCTTCTAAATTCCTATATGCTCCAAGCTGTAACCTGAGATCTTCCAACCAACACTTACTAGTTGTAGTTGAGTCAAGTCTGCTAAGAGTCACCAGGCTTATGCTATCAGGGAGCTGAGGCTCCGGGATCCTTACCTTAGCAGGTTATATTAGACTTTATAAGACTTGAAAGTCAAATATAACCTGTTTTTACGTCATTGCTTAAAAGTTTTCTTTTTTATAGGAAAGCCTTTTAATGGCTACATTTTAACAGGTCTTAAAGCATATTTCTTTCTTTTTTAGTTGAGTCTTTTTTTGCTCTTTGTTGTTTTATTCCCGTGTATTTAGCAAAGTGTTTTGTACCCTTGTTTAGATACCTCCTATAGAAATAAAAATATCATTATTATTATTACAAGTAAAAAGTAGAAGACCAAAAATCTTATCAGCAAAATCTGTTAAAGTCGGCCTACCACAAAGTAAAACTATTCATTATCTAAAAAACATTTTACTATTACTGTGTGGACACTTACATACTTGCACTGATGGTTTGTGTAGTGGTAAAATGAGTAATCCCCTGTGATAAGTACACCCTGTTTTGCATGTGAAATCTTATTCAGTCCAATGTAGTGGAGTAAAATACTCCCTGAAAAATAGTTAGGTATGAAATGCTAGACAATTAAAGTAGTTAAGTACAGTACATAATGTGCATAGCTTTACGACAGTGTTTGTTGGCACCTGTTGATTTGCTAGTTGTTCAATCTGTGCAGCAGCGATGGGATTTAGTAAGAGTGCTGCATCTGTTTTGTCCACTAGAGGGTGACAAGAGACTTAAGTTCTTTATTTAGCTCTCATATAAACAGGATGTGAGTAAGTCCCATTCATTCCAACGTTTCTATGACCAGAGACGCTGATGTGGTCTGACATATCGCTGGCTTCCTGTTGCACCTAAGGTCTCAACATCACTGTAATAATAACTGTTCATATGTCTCCGTCACAGTTAATGAATATGTTTTATTTCAAGCCTCATCAAGCAACAGAATTAGAAGCGATGCGTGGCTCTCATTATGATGATGCCATCTGTTGAACATAGTTTTCTCCAGGGGGGCCTTGTTGATGGCTTATTATACCAAACCATGTGCAGTGTGGCCACACGGAACTCTGATAAGACCTAATTAAAAACACCTTTATCTCCCAGTAACAAGTGCTCTGTTGGAGTATCTGGGTCGAACTTGGTGTCTTATCTTATGCACTGTGTTGACCACAGGGAGGAGCTGCTGTGATGTGGTCATTGTCAAAGCTCCTCTGAGGTTAATGCACTTGCAAATTTCTGCAGCAGGAGTAGGTGTTACCAGGAGGAGACAGTAAGATAACAGTGAATTAAACCTGAAACAAGTTGTTAAAGATTATTCACCCACACACCCACACATGTTTGACGTCACGGTAAACAGCTTGGATATGAACAGATGGTTTAGTTTCGAGTGGAGTGTGAGGTCGACTGGTGCTGCCGTGCTTACTGTGGATGAGACTGTCTTATTTTAGGCCTCGCTTTGTTGTCGGTGCATTTGAATGACAGTCACTAGCCACTTGTATTTTACTGCCACTTCAGCATCCAGTTGAACAGGATGTGTAAATTAATCCACTAATCCCACTGCTGTCTTTTAATTATAGTGAGGACAACAGGTCATTGTAATGCACTTTGCAATTTTAAATTGCTTTTGTTCTCAGGGAGCGCTGGGTTTATTTTGAGGAGAGTATTTGTACAGTGCAGTTCTATAATGTAGTATTTTCCCTGTAAATTGGATCAGTTCATATACTCCACATATGGTTTCAAGCAAACCAATACAACAAGGAAAACATATTGTGTTCAAATGTAAACATTATAATGAGAAACTTTCTCAAAATAATGAGTATATGACTCAGCATCTCAAAATACAGACCTAGTATCTCAAAATAATGACTTAGATTCTCAATATAGTGACTTAGCAGCTCAAAATAAAAATTTCGTGTCTCAAAATAATGACTTTGTATCTCTTATGACTCAATATTTTACAATCTTGCTATTTAGAATCTATTTAGAATCAATTTCATCATTAAAACTCAGAATCTCAGGATTAAGAATTACAATCTAAAATTTTGACTTTTTAATCTCATTATTTAGATTATTAGCATTCATCCTTTTTTCTTTCACTGGCATTACTAAAATTACTCAAACTCATTCAATCTGTTGATTGATTTGTATAAAAATCTAAAGGAGGCTTTATGACTCGTCCAGATGATGCAAACAACATGTGTGAGAACGTTTTTCCTAAAAATGCTGTGGTGTAACCATAAATGCAAATGTTTAGGCTATCCGTGCTTAAGGGGGGATGGTAATCTGAGTATCATGGTCACTGCGCAATGAATCTGTCTCTTTTGGTGTGAACAAATGGAAACCATACACCTCTGTGTTACAGGTGAGTGGGATATACTTGAGTGTTTTCACTCCATGTCACCCCTCTGGACCCATGGTAACCCCACAGCCACCAGCCAGCTGCGTTAGAGGTTTCAGTGGAACAAGTACAGATTTCACACTCCCATTCCTGCTGTAAGCTGATAGGAGTGAAAAAAGGCTGTGGGGCTGCAAACTGCTCTCATGGCAGACAGGGTATGGGGGACGCACTTAATTCAACATAAACTCACCTCACCAAGCGTGGAAGGAAAAATTACAAATAGAACCGTGGTCCAGCAGGAGAGAGGAGACATTCTTCTTCTTTCAGTGAATTGATACAAACTTCCCCTGAACACAGCTCACAAAGCAGCTCACAACAACATTAAAGAAGTTCAGCTTCAAGGTCAAAGCCATTAGTGTTGGTTCAGTGGAGATTTGCTTTGAAGACTTTAAAACCATTAAGACACAACAAACAATGAAAACAGTTTTGCATGAAATGTCCCTGTAAGCCCCTAAGCATGCAGGCTAATTGACTTTTTAATGGAACCCCAAGGCCTGATAGAGCCTACAACACCTTGTGGTGTCCGTCAACTTGTCTGCAGCAGCCCAGCTGTTCTCCCACAGGAAAAAGTCGACATCATCCCCCATGTGGGCAAATCCAGCCTTTCCACGCGCCAATCACATTGCGCCTTTAACCGAGAGGAGATGCGCAGCGCAGCCTCTCCGTGCACACTGATCCAAACTCCGCCGGACAACTGTGGAGCAGCTGCGCAACTGCGACACAACCGCGCACTCTGAGGCTGAGCTCGGTGCGACAGCAGCTCACCAGAGAAACTTTTTTTGGATAAACGTCTTTTTGTGGGGGGGGGGGATCTGCATAGACCGACAACCGGGATCCGACAAGTAAATGGGACAACGAGAATCGCGACAACTTGAATCGCTCCAGCTGCGCGCGCGGTTCAGTTTGGCCAACTTTGTGCCGTAGCACCATCCGACCAGCCTCAGTCCGAGAGGCAGCAGCACAGGAGGCGGCTGGATGTGGCAGGAGACGGGTCACTGAGCTGCAACGAGCCGTGTGCGAGTTTCCCCACTGCCCAACTCTCCAATGTCACCGGACAGGATGATGATCATTGGACTTCTGCTCAATGTCTTCTCTCAGGGTGAGCGACACATTTCTCTAACACACTGTTTAGACGCAGAATTTAAAACCCATCGCTGAGTTAGTCTGTTAATCTTCCAGTGTGTGTGGCTCAGATTATATACAGAATATGTTTTATTACACAGAATGTGATGTTGAAGAAGAATTCATTCATGTCTGCAAGAGGTTTTCATGCATGTCCATTACCTGGATTGTAACAAAGACCCAAACCCACATGCACTTCAGGATTTGACTTGATGTTTTTCGAAATAACTTAATTATAAGAGGACATTTGCCTAATTTTCATGATTAAGAAATAACTGAAAATGTTTGGGTGTGTAAGCATAACACAGAAATGTATTTTAAATGTACTGATATTCTCAGTTTCAAATTGATTTCCTACTCTATTCAAGTTTTGAGTGAAACTTTTGAGTTCACCCCCTAAATCCCAGTACAGAGGTCCACATAGAAACCAGTCTGCCATTCATTATCTAAGAAGCAGCGTTAGATTTTACGTGTGGATGACATCATGGGTTCAGGTCCCTGATTTCTGCCTTGGAAGCGTTCCAAAGAGAGCTGTTCATCTCCCAAATATTGATTAGACTGTCTCTGCAGATCATGGAAATATCACATGAATGTAGTTGAAGTAAAGTGGTGCTCTGCTTTATGTGAAAGCATGTTGGCTTTACAGCTTCTGTAAATCATCGAGATTTTACATAAAATGTGCATTAAGAGTTTGATGGGATGAGGAATTTAATATGAAAGCGAACATTTATTCATTTTAACTTCATGGCAGCAGCATGACTGACTGGTTTGTAGCCCCTGCTCATGATCAGACGGACAAAAGACAGTGAAATACCTGTGTGTGTTTTGTATTACAGTGCATGATTACATGATCAGTACACACCCACACGCTCCTGCATGAGTTATGGTAATTAAAGTCAATAATAGTGACTGTGGCTTGATAAGAAATGTCCCAGCGGAGCACGTGACGCTTGTTGATCTGTGGTTATTGATATTAAATCATGTCGTTTCTGATCGCAAGTGTTTATCAATGCTGGAGCAGGGAATCTTTTTCACATTTATGGATTTGACTGCATGTGTTGTCTACAGGTTGTGTGTCCGTATCCACTGTGAACACACAAAAAAACACCTCCTGTGCTTTTTACTGCTGAAATACACCTGAGCTGTTTTTCAGGAGAATTTACCAGAAGATAATGGTATCCTATAATGACGCATGGTTTCATGTGAATGTCAAAGCTGTCAGCTCCCCGGTCTATCACCAGATCCCCCTGTCAGACACTCAGGTGAAATCACACAGAGAGAAGCAGTTTCAGGTGCCATTTAACAGAGATCATTACAGATGCAAATGTGAGGAGTCTGTCATGATGCTGAATTCATTATACTGGAGCTAATTGCAGAAGAAATGATTGGATTTCAATTTAGTTTTATTGACATCATTAGAGAAGCGAAATCTGTGCACCACCTTGATTTTCATCTCATACAAAGTGTCGCTGTGTATCTACACTGCTCTTCTACAATCTAATCATAGACTCAGTCTAATGGACATTCCCTCTCTGTCTGTAGGTAATGTAGAAATAGCCCCTCTGAACTGTCACTTCATGGAATGTTATTTTTACCTTGTTATATATCTGGCCTTGTACAACTCTGTGACCCAAACAATGCTCAGGGCTAAAATTCACCAGTCATTACTAATGTGTCAGGATCACTCCTCTGTCCCACGTCCAACCCCAGGACTCCATATTTTCGAACAATAACAGAAAACGTTTTAATTTGAGAACACATTTTTCATAATTGAGAAACTGTCGTTTCCTCTGGCACGAGTCACTGATTTGATCTAATGCTCAGAGTTATTCTCTGCCAGTTTTGCTTATTGTTGACATGTGTTGTCTGCTTCTTTTTCCATATTAATTAAAGTGTAATAGAAACACGTCTCACATATAATGCGGGTGATCACTTTGAACGTGTCAGTATGTCTCTGGAGAGAAATCAATGGAAGGCTTATTGTTGAAGGACATTAAATGTGACTTTGACCCTTCGCTGGGAGGCCTTTGTGGATTATTGCTGAAGTCCCAGTGCAGACTAACTGGTGACTGAGTGTTGCTATTTTTGGGAGCTCATTTATTGGACGTGAATGAGCCGTAACACAGTTGTTGTAATTGTATTGGTGCTGATTTTCAAGCTGTGTGAAGTCACACAGATGTTAAATGGACTAATGTCCACATGCTCGAGTTGTTTCTATTCAGAGTTAGATGATGTGATGACAGTTGTTCTTTGTGCACATATGTAGGTTTATCCAAACTCCTCTCTATCTCTGCCACTGTGCCAAAGACTGTTCTTTCTCTCATTCTGCTGAGGCATTGTCTCTACTCCATGCCTGTAATTTAGTTTTGTTTAGGGCGACAGCACACAAAGATTAAATTGGCAACAGGCCTATTGGACATCGCTTAGATAAAAAAAAATTATAAAATACTCTTTCTGCAAATGCAATTATTTCTTTTATTTGATGTTTCACTTTAAAGAAATCATTTCAATTAAAACCCAAACACAGAGGGTAACTTAACATTGAAATGTGAACGACAACTGCTTTTCTGTTGCTTGAGTGACACCAGAACTCATTATCAAGCTCACTGCATTAAAACCTGAAAGTTTCTCAAATGTTATATTTTGTTTTATCATTTATGTGTCAGTCACTGCCTGTTAGACGTGTGCTCTGAATCTCAATTGTCACATTTACATGCTCGATGGCACATAAAGAAACCCACAGCCTGTCCATATGTAGTTTAATTCTGTACAAGAATTTCTGTGGCAAATTGTAATCTGGGGCTGCAGCAAGAGGAAGGATGATAATGAAATATTGACACAGCTCCAGACTCCCTGACTGGCTGATGCAGCACCTGATGCAAGTATGCATTTTACCTGGAGCACCGTGAAGGGAAGCTGCCTGTGCCATGTGGCTGCATGATCCAGTGCAGCAGCTCATTAAACATGACCTTATACCTTTTCACAACATGAAATGATGATTCTTTTACACATTGTGTTGCCACCTGTGGGTGCTTTGACGCTTAACACATGCTGTCAGAACACCGATGTTGGACAGGAATAATCAAGTCATTTTACTTCAATTTAGTTTGCTTGTTGATTTGCAAAATGAGACAAAAACTATCGAATGTATATAAAACCTGGTGGAGGGATGTGGTATGCCTCAGGGAAGGACCCATTCAACTTTGGGGCAGATCAAGGGGCAGACCCAGGAATTGTTGTTGTTGTCGTCAATTTCTTTAAAATTGTGAACATTTTTCTTCATATTCACCGTTTTCCCTGAAAATGATTTGTGGATCTTTATGAAAAAAATATGTATTTAGGGACTTGATATCTGTGAGTGTGAAATTTGGGGCAGCTTGATTAAATTCATGGGGACTGTTGGGCCTTGGTGGAGATATTCTCTCTACTGAGGCAACACTACAGTACGTTTTTGAAAACTACTCTGAACACTTAAGAGTTTGGCTCTGTATCATTTCTAATCCTTGTCCAAACTAACACACCTGAAAACACATATCAAGTGATCACGACCGTACATTGGTCATGCACGTACCGGTGTACACAGGAGTTCGGTTGTTAGTTCAAGAATTGTCGCAGATTGTTTGAATAGCTCATGTCCAACAAATGTAAGCAGAGTTTAACTGCTCAACAGCTGTTAGCAAAGACAACAGGGTCAACATCGCTTGTAATGAATTAATCCATTGTTGTGTTCTACACTGACGGCCAAGGCTAATGCCGATTGTTCTCTTCCGGGAGGTGATCATGTGGTCAGCAAGCAGTTGTGAGTGTCCACGTCATTGTTTCCAACCATCTCTGTTTCTGCACAGACTATAATGCTGCCCTAGAGTTTTCAAACTAAAAACGTTTTAGTAAACTCCAGAGTAACAAGGCCAGTTATATCCCTAGCAGAGTTGATACGTAGTGGTTTGAATGTAGCCTGAGTGCCATTCTAAGTTTCTTTTATTTCTGAAAAAATGCCCTGTTACCATCCCAACTGTATTTATAATAATGAGAATGGGTCCACCTTCTTTTGCTTATTACTCATTGGAAGTGAGCATATTGTTGATTAGAGGCAGAACCACTGTGCTTTTCTATGCTGCAGTCACACAGAAATCCCTGCTTGCTTAGGAAACTAAAGGTGTAATTTGTCCGTGCATGAGAGGCACTTTTGTGTTTAGCTTTGTTAGATAAAAAAACATTTTAGCCAAGCCTCCATCTCAGCCCGTGTTGTATGATTAAATAAATTGCAGCACTCTATGGAGACCAGGTCTTGTCAGAGGGGAAAAATGTCCAGTTGTGTTGTGAGGTGGGCTTTGTACAGGAGATTTCTATTCTCCTGATTATTGAGTGAGACTCTCTGTGTGTTCTTCACTCACACATGAAGTGCTACTGCTGTCCTCAGTGATTGTCTGGAGGAACCCATGGGCGATAAGAAAGATGTGGAGGAGATGTAGTACGGAGAGATTTTGGAGGAGAATAATGAAATGCAGCAGGGGCGGCACCATGAGGGGATTGAGAAGGAAGGGGTTACAAAAATAAGAGCAGGAAAGGGTGAGAGGTTTTATATAATATACTGAAGTTCAGTAATAATATATTATAATACCCAGAAACATGGAGGAAAAGTTTTTATGACAATTTTGGGGAAAAGCCTTTGTTCGATAATTGTAATTATGATATATGTGAAAGGAGATAAATAAATATCCATTATCTATACCGCTTATCCTTTTGGGCTCACAGTAGGGGAGCTGCATGGAGAAAATCCCAGCTGACATAGGGGGAGAGGTACGTATGACATTGTTTGACACCTGAGGCATTCGGGGGAAGCTTTATTCAATAAGTAGCTGCAGTTTAGGGATTGTTCCCATAAAAAACGAAACCTGAAAACCTTTAAAACTCAACAGCAGCCTTGAGAATAAAACAGCTTTTCCCGTTTCTTTAAAAAAAAAAAAAAAAAGAGCT